TTCCCTTTGTGCAGTGAGGAGCCAGAGCTGCCATCACCCAGGGGTGACCCCAGGACGGGACAGAGAATCTTTTCAAGTGGACACTGTGAAGGGAGAAGATTTTTTAATTCCCTCCTCTCCAAGAATTCCTACCACAGCTCTGGATCTCCACCTCCTGCCGACAGCGGGAATTCCATCCCAGAGAAACAAATTCCCCAAAGAATCTGCTCCTGTTGGGATTTGCTGCCCCGGAGCGGGACAGAAGCAGAGCTYGGCTGTGCAGTGACAGAATGTGAGAAAGGATCCCATTGATCCTAAAATTAAACTGAACTGGAGATAAAAGCGGGTCCAGAGGAGGTCAAGGAGATGATCCAAGGGTTGGAGCCCCTCTGGAGCCAGACTGGGAGAGCTGGGAATGTTCCCCTGGAGAAGGGAAGAATCCAGGGAGAGCTCAGAGCCCTTTTTGGGGTCTAAAGGGGCTCCAGGAGAGCTGGAGAGGGACTGGGGACAAGGGATGGAGGGACAGGACACAGGGAATGGGGTCACAGTGGAAAAGGGGAGATTTGGGTGGGATTTTGGGCAGGAATTGTTCCCTGGAGGGTGGGCAGCCCTGGATCCCTGGCAGTGCCCAAGGCCAGGGGGGACATTGGGGACACCCTGGGGACAGTGGGAGATGCCCCCACCCATGGCAGGGGTGGCATTGGGTGGTTTTGAAGGCCTTTCCTTGAAACATTCCGGGATTTGATGATATTTTCTCACATTTTTTTACACATCACCAGCAGTGGAGCTTCATCAACAGAACAGCCGGTTAAAGAACCCAGACACACACAGACAGACAGACAGACAGACAATGTCCCTGCTGCTCACCTGCTGATGGCACTGAAGATGCCGAGAGCACCTGAAGACAAAAAGCTCTGTCCCAACCTCACCATTAAAGATCTCCCACAAAAGGGGGTTGGACACTCCCCGGTGCACGGCTGAGGGACTGAGCAGTGAAATAGGACCGTGGGACCCTCCAGGGCAGTGCCACCACCCCCAGGAGGGATTGAGCAGTGAAATGGGACCGTGGCACCCTCCAGGGCAGTGCCACCACCCCCAGAGTGGGATTGAGTGGCCAAATGGGACCGTGGGACCCTCCAGGGCAGTGCCACCACCACCAGAGTGGGATTGAGCAGTGAAATGGGACCGTGGGACCCTCCAGGGCAGTGCCACCACCCCCAGGAGGGACTGAGCAGTGAAATGGGACCATCCTGGGCAGTGCCACCACCCCCAGAGTGGGACTGAGCAGTGAAATGGGACCGTGGGACCCTCCTGGGCAGTGCCACCACCCCCAGGAGTGACTGAGCACTGAAATGGGACCGTGGGACCCTCCAGGGCAGTGCCACCACCCCCAGAGTGGGACTGAGCAGCGAAATGGGACCACGGGGACACTGAAGGGACCAAGCCCCTCCC